TAAATATAGTACTTATATAACAATATAATTTATTTATTTATAATATAGGTGTAAAATAATATAAACTGAATAAAAAAGATAATAAATTGGGATTAGAAAAGTAAAAAAAAAAAAGAGTAAATTGGATTGGAAAAGTAAAAAAAAAAAATCAATAAGTCAGGATCGATAAAAAAAAAAAAAAAAAATCAAAAATAATTATTTCAATTTTTAATTGCAAAATATTGACTGATTTTAACTTGCTTAAGGTTTTTAACATAAAGTACTCTTACACGTTTATGTAATCTTCTTAAAACTTTAGCGTCATCTTCAATTTCACCAAATCCATCTTTCTGTTCATATAAAAATCTTAAAATTGTATTAATAGCCTTTTCTGCTTTACTACAACCAACTTTTTCTAATATGTTAGTTTTACAAACTTCAGATACAATTTCCTCTTTATTTTCAGCAACAGCTGCTAAGATTTCATCATCTGTAAGTTCACTTTCAACTTCATTTTCTTTGATACTAATATATTCGAAGGCACTAAGATTGTCATCACCTAGTAATTTGGTAAGAAGATTTTCTAATTCATCTAGCTCTCTATATTCGATATTAACAAAAATATCATATCTATTTACTATTTCATGTGGTGGGAGAATTCCAGTTTTTATCTAACAATTTGAAATTGTTTCAGAAGAAACCATTGACCAAGCTTCTGTGGCATTTAAAATTGCATTATAAACATTATACTCAAGAAGTTCTTTTACCTGATTTTCCTGTAAGTTATCATACACATTGATTCAATTTTGAATAAAAAGACGCTTATAATTACATTTGAATAAATTAATAATTCCTGCATCGCAGGGCTAAAGAATTAAGGTAGTCTGTACTAGGAGAAATTCAACACGTAGATTGCTTAGTTTTTCTTGAGTTTTGTCAAGAATGATATATACTGGTGCATTATTAATCAAAAAGATAATATTCTGATTTTCTCTTTTCATTTTGTCATTAAGTTTAAGAAGAATCTGATTAAATATACCAACTTGCATTCACGATTTTTTGTTTCAAAAATAGTAAACTGGAAGTTTACTATAATTAATATTTTTCATTGCATAGGGATTTTTAAACTGATGAATAAAGGTAAGTTTCATCTTTTCAGTCCTAATCGTATTTGTAGCACAAAAAATTGTAATATGTGCCTTTACTTTTTTATGACCAGAAAGCCAAGAACAAGCCAAAACACGAGTTGGTTCTATTTTCCAGAAAAGACCTGTTTTATTGCCATTCCAAATATTTTTAAGCTCATAATTGCTAAAAAGAAGCTATAAATTTATACGATGATTGGCTATTGATTCTGCGGAAGGTGCACTTGCCATTTTACCATGTTTTTTGAATTGCTAAAGTCTATTTTATTTTTTAAAACCAGTAAGCTAGCCTTCTGATTAGGTGAAATCTTCAATATTTAATCATTTAGCAAAAAATTTGGCCTTCATTTTAAGAACATTGCTATCAATATTTTGATTCATTTCGAGGGTATTGTTAATCCAAAGACTAGCATATTTTCTAACAGTGGCCACTTTGGGCTATAAAATTTTTTTTTTCTCCTCTGTATCCAAAACAGACAGCTATCTGGCTTTTTCTTTAATATATCCGTAACAATTGATTTTTCAATACCATATTGTGCTAATAATTCTGCATTAGTAATGAGGGGATTCTTCTTTTTATCTCTACATAGATCATGTTTTTTTGCAGCAGTGAGGCAATTATGATTCTGAGTAGAAGCTGACATTAATTTTACAAAAAAAATTATTGCGTTCTTATATTTATAACTACAATGTAAGTCACAAAGTAATTGACGTTCTGAATTGATATAATTCTTTTATTCGCTTATCTTTATATAATTAAAAATTAACGAAATCAGATAGGTTTTAGGAACTTGAAACTCGATACACCTTATTCTTTATTAATTTTTTAATATAAT